GGGTAGTTTGATCTTAGTAGGATAATAGGTCAGCACAACATCATGGGCCGAAGGCCTTGTTCTATGTTCTATGTTCTCTATGCTCTATATGAACCTAGAAAGAGTTTTGCCATATACTTCCATTGCAAAGATGTTCATGAAGTCAATTTCACTCCTGATGTGATTTCCAACCACAGTTCCAACAAAAAAAGGGTTCTGTTGATAATAATCAAGCTAACAATCCTACATCTAGGCAAGGATTTTCATTTCCAAGACCGACAGTGAATGCACATACACATGTACAGAAATAAAATCATCCATAAAGTAAGGATTACAGGCTTCAGTGCAGAAATGCATCAAGTAAGAAACAAAGTTACAATTTAGAAATAACCATGTACTAAACGGATACACTGTGCAACCTAACACATTTAAAAACAGTACATGTTTGGCAATTTTAGTAATAATTTGCAAAACCCCAAGTTCTAAAGAAATATGAAAAATTGAGTTATTTCTGGAACAGTGAATTTGTTCTTTTTAAAATGCCGTATCTAACCCAGACAGTCAGTAAGAGCTTTATAAATGGAAATCTAGCTCAGAATACTCCAAGGCAGAGTACTTGCTTAACTCGGGGAATTTGGTGAGTGAGAGAATTTTAAGTATTGATCTCTTTGCAAAGTCTAGTCAAGTTTCCATTTAGCATTTAACTTTGCCTGAACATTAAATTACAGTTATGCTCAGTCTAGTCAAATGATAAAAGGAAAATTGGGTGACTAATCAGGACTCATTCCCTGGTCAGCAGGGCCTGACACAGCTTCCTGGAATTTCAGCTATTAAAGATACAGGGATCTTGGTAGTGTACAATGCAATTAACTCAATGGAGTTGTCAAACAAAATACTCATTTAATTTGGAAACTTGGTGATTGAGAGAAGAGGTTAAAAGAGGGAAGAGCTGGTGCTCTGGTCTTTTACAGAACAGGAATTAGTCCAGGGGAGGGACAACGAGATCAGAGAACTGAAGATCAGTTAATGAATTTTGAGGTTTCAGTTTCACTCTCTCCGAAGAAACTAGTAAATTTTGTTGACAGTAGAAGAAATCTGAATCCAAGTTCTTTACAAAAATAATGAAACAAAACCCCAGGGGTTTAAGAAATTTTACTATAAAAAAAAATTAAACAAAAAACTTTTACCAATTAGTTAATCACTAATCCTCCAAAATCCAAAGTCAATATTAGTTAAGTATGAACGAATATGCAAATTGCAGTTGATTATAAACCATAAATTACTCATTAAAAGGCAGCTACAAATAAAGCAGATGCTACTAAATTGGTCTAGCAGTATATTTAGCATATAGAGCAAACTTTGTTTGGCTCATGGTTCAATGGTAGTACCACTATCTCTGAATATGGAGAGCCAGGTTCAAGTTTCACCTGCTCCAGAGGTGTGCAACAATATCTCTGAACATGTTATGAGAAAATACCTACAGGGCAAACTCAGTAACAAAGTCCTTCAAAATTCTGCCTCCCTTGAAAAGCCACACCTCTTCTAGAATTTAGTTAGATCCTGGGTCAACAGCAGTGCACAATCAAGCCTGGTTTCACAGGCATGATCTTCATCAAAAGTGAAATATGCCTGCAGAATCTACTCAATGCGATCTCAACTGCACAAGTCATCAAACACAAAAGTAGCAACTCTGTCCTTGCTTATCCTCAGCTGTTGGAGCTAGTCTCTGTAATCTATAGCTTGCACTTATAGCATTAAGTTCTACAGATGGCTCTGTGTTCCTTTATATAGCCTCAACCAATTTTACTCTTCCCAGAAGCTTTAGTTGCCTTAGGAACAGGCAGAGTAGGTTTTCTTAATCTTCCTTTTCAGTTAGACTATGTGTTAAAAATATAGGCTTTGGGGTGTTGAGAGAAATTGTCATATTCTTTTTATTCTTCTTCAGGAGTCATTGTTGCTGGCTCGGCCAGCGTTTATTACCCAATCCTAAATGTCCATGACATGGTGGTGAATGCTTTCATGAAACACTGCAGCTCATGCAATAGTACACTCATGACACAGATTAGAATGAAGTTCTAGGATTTTGATCCTACAATAATAAAAGAATGGCGAGATAATTCCATATGTATGGCTTGGAGGGGAACTTGCAGCTCAGTGTTTCCAGACATCTGCTGCCTTGTACTCTTAGGTGGTAGTAGTCATTCCTTTGGAAAGTGATGTCAGAGGTCAGCTGTTAAGAGTCCATACTGTGGATAGCATGCACGCCATCTCTGTCAGTGGTGGAGGTAGCAGATGGGGTACCAATAAAGCAGGATGTTTTCTCCTGGATGGTGTTAAACTTGAGTAATGGTGGAGCTATACTTAGCCAGGCACTTAGCGGGTATCCCATCACACTCCGGATGTTTTCCTTGCAGATGGCGGTCAGACATTGAAAGTCAGTGGAGGCGAGATGACGCCGGAGTAGAGACTCGTGGCTGGCTGTTTCAGGCCCATGGTTGAGCATTTTAATAAGAAGGACTGTAGACTTGAACTTGATCTTGTTTTTATTTTTCTGACTATATGTTGTACAACTTTGGTTTATTTTTCTGTGTTTTAAGGTGGCACCAGAGAGTGGCAACATTATACAACACTTTTCACTGTATTTTGTAACAAAGTACATTTAAAAACAAATCAAATCAATCTATTTACTTGCTGCACAAATCCCAGATTCTCACCTGCTTTTGTTGCCACAGTATTTATATGGATTGTCCAATTCAGTTTTTGGTTAATGGCAACTTCCCTGTTTCGGAGTGGGGGATTCAGTGAGAGTAATATCATTGAATGTTAAGGTTAATATGTACTGTATGAGAGACCAAAAGGTATGCAGAAATGAGCAGAGGCCCTACCCTCAGCAGATCACTGCTGTCTGTTTAAAATGAACAGAAGACAAAATAGTCTGGATGCCAACAAGTCTTTTTTTTGTTAAATATACAAGAGGTGAGCGGCACTTGGAAGGAAATACTGGCAGTCTGTTGAGAGCAGACGTGATGAAACAGCTACAAAATCAGCCGCATGAGTTCATTTCTATAGCTATTATTATTATGTGTAAATGTTGTCTGGAATGGTGTGTCTCTTTCTTAGAAGCCACTGTACTTCCCAAATTTGATTTCACAAATCAACTCTCGATCACCTGAGAGGGGCCACAAAATAATAAGGTATACTGACAGTGCATTATATCATCATTAGATTCAGGTTTAAAGGACTGGCTCATTTTTAAATATATACACATTATAGAATCATAGAGTCCCAACAGTGTGGAAGCAGACCATTTGTCCCATCGAGTCCACACTGACCCTCCGAAGACCATCCCACCTACGCTATCCCTGGAGCCCTGCATTTCCCATAGCTAACCCACCTAGCCTGCACATCCCTGGACACTATGGACAATTTAGCATGGCCAATCCATCTAAACTGCACATCTTTGGACTGAGGAAACCGGAGCACCTGGAAGAAACCCATGCAGACATGGGGACAATGTGCAAACAGACAGCCGCCCAAGGCAGGAATTGAACCTGCATCCTTGGTGCTGTGAAGCGGATTTCATGCCTAGAAATGGTCAAATTTAAAATCTTAATTCTCGTTTACAAATTCCTTCCACTCCCTTCCCAACTTTTACTTTGCCATGTTTTCCAGCCTGGCATGCCTGCCTACCTCCACAGCCATACATCCCATTCTGTCCTTGCAAATCACCATGGGGAGTTTTCAGTATGAAAGGTGTTTCATAAAAGCGTGTACTAATATAAATTATAAAATTGTACTGAAGGAGGCTAAGTCAGGGCATGTAATCAGCTCCTGTTATTGATGGAAAAAGTCAAATTAAAATCTTCCAGAAGTCCCAATCCATCTCCTTAATAAACTGGAAAAGGTTGGATTGATAACAGAGTATATACGACAACAGGTTGCAGGATTTTTATGCAGATACTGCCAGGTAAACATCAAATGAGAAACACAAGCTAGCCAACTTAACTACATAAAGAAAATAAAGCTGTAGAACAAAAAGCATTTGGAGCATTTTTCACCATAACTCCTTTTCCCCAAATTACACCATAACATGGGAAGTGAATATTTACACAGAACAGTGAAGGCCAGAGGACAAGGCTTCAGAAGTTTCTGGGCACTGTTGCAAAGAAATAAGTGTTTTTAGATACCATTCTTATCCAGTACTTGCAAACAGTAAAAATCATACAGTTACGAGTTAAGCATTCAGCAAAATACTGAAATTCACTTACTCTTATTTCGAAATTTATTCCTCTTCAGAAATATTCCTGGTAAGAGCTGTGGCACAGTTCAGGCGGTAGCAAGCTCTTATGCAAATCAGCCACTATCTAACTTGCTTAAGAATCGGCACTACGTAAAGGCCGTATGACCATGCAAAATAAGAGCAAATCCCTGGTCCAACTGGCATCCACATCCACGATTTAAACAATTATTTAAGAGTAATTAGGAAGGACACACTGTTTTTCTCTTTCCAATTCAAGAACAAGGTCATTGTAATAGTCATCAGCCCGGTACTATCTTGGTCCACTACACAAAAACTATCGATTAAAGCAAATAAGTTCTTGGAATGTGAAACTATTAACTTCCAACACTTACCTGCCGCTGAACTTTCAAAATACACATTTTAGAAAAAGACAGCAAGTTTTTGTTTTTACAAAAGTCAATCATTTGAAAAAAAGTCAGTCCTATTGAGAAAGTATAAATTAAATAACTCTTAACTATGCTGGGTAAACAGATCACAATGAGTAAACTGCAAGACAAGTAATTACGTAATGGACCTGGAGACCATTTCCAACTATGCAAAAAACAAAAAAAATCTAGTAAAATAAATTACCAGCACAAAGATATCAACAAGGAACTGTTTTTTGATCACAGTTTCTATTTACGCTGTATACCCAGAGGCATTTCCTAAATTTGCTTTCTTTTCACTCAAACGTTCTTTCCATTTGCCATGTTGACAACCTTAAAAGAAATGGAACACATACCTCATGTACAGCACTCCATTCTGATCCACTTGTCGCTGCCATCCTATAGGAACTTGAACTGCTGGTCCCCCGCCATCTTTTTCACCATCATTCTCATTTCCTCCATTCATTTTTACGTTTCTGCTTGTGACACCTCAAAGATATCAATAGTCAGATGATACCTCCAGATTTCATGTCATCATGGCCTCTGAAATGTGACCATATGGTACAGTGCTTGTCCACTGTACGAAGTGTTCAGGGAGATGCTCCAGCTCAATGAGGAATCATCTCTTCAAAAGCCACCATTTTATTTAAAGTCACTGCTTCATAATAATCCACATTCATTTAGTGTTTGTGCGATGATTCAGAGCGTTTTGAGCTGTAGAGTAATGCTACATGGGGAGAACTGGCTGCCTTCTAACCAGAACGCACATGATTCACAAATGCCTTTATTCAGTTCTGAGGGTTAAGGAGGATAATATATGTTCTGACATACAGCAGTTTAATTCAGCTTTACTGATTCCCGCAGACAAGTCTTGACTTTTTAGGGTCAGGGTAATCTTTCTACAATTGAAGCCATAGTTGACCACATCCTTCTCTTTAATGTATATATCCCAGGCACGTCAAAATACAGATGGTTCTCACATTTAACAAAGCAGCCTCTTGATATTGCTCATCACTGCTTCCATAGTTTTGGATGAGCCAGCCTTTATAAAACGTCCTGTAAATAAAACAAGAATTTAGTTTAGTTAACTACTAAATTAACAATTAGTTTATCAAGAAAATGGTTAGAGGTGTGCTGTAAGATATCTGCATATACTGCACAGTGCACTGATATCTGGTCATGAATTCTAAGGAACAGCATACCAACTGAATGCATTATCTAAAATACAAACTTTAACCATGTGAAAATCATTTGAGCCACGATGAGGTTTGCTCATGTTTTAAGTAAACATCAAAAAGCAAGAGATTTCTTCATTTAACAAATACACAGGTGTAAGTAACTTGATTCAGTGCTTAAATTTTAAATTCCATTTTCATATTCTAAGCCCCATTACTCCATACACAATAGCATCAGAAGCCAGTACAGACTTGGCATGGTGTCAAGTGTTCTGTTTTTTTTTAAATTGAAAGAACTTCATCACGTCATTCAGAGCTGTGTTTGGTACTTCACCCATTATAATATTTCAATAACACATTATGTCTTCAACTCATTTCACTGATTGATCAAAACAATCTCACAATGCTTTATATCCAAACTTCAGAATATTTTTAAAAAATCTATAGCTTAGATACTGCGGTTTACAATTACTTTGACGTTGCTCTCGTAAAAGAATTACATATAAATAGATGTACTGGAAATGTTGGGGAACACAAGGTTGAGTGATAGGGAGGAACTGAAGAAAATCAGCATCAGGATGGAAATGAATGCACTGAAGGTGGATAAGTCCCCAGGGCCTGATAATCTACATGTCAGAGGACTCAAGGAAGTGATGCACTGGTAGTCAGCTTCCAATATTCTACAGATACCATGGCATTTCCTACAGATTGTAGTGTAACTAATGTTACCCCTTGATTTAGAAAGGGAGGCAGCGAGAAAACCAGGAATTATAAATCAAATCAGCCTGATGTCGATAGTGTGAGAAACGCTAGCATCTATTATTAATATTTTAATAGCTGAGCACCTGGAAAACAGTGGAAGGATCAGTCACAGCATGGATTTATGAAAGCAAACTCATGCTTGACAAAATCTTTGAGGTTATGACTCAGAATTGGCAAATGGGAGCCAGTGGATGTGGTTTATTTGGGCTCTCAGATGACTTTCAACAACATCCCACCTGAGAGAGAATATGTGAAATTTAAGTGCAAGGGATTTGGACGTAGTGAATTGAGATGGATGGAAAATTGGTTGGCAGAGAAGAAACAAATAGTAGGAATATAGGAGTATTTTCCTGGATAGCAGGCAATGACTAGGGCTGTACCTTAGGGATCAGTGTTAGGACCCAAGCTGTTGCCAATATATATTAATGATTTGGTTGACAGAATTAAAATGTAACATCTCCAAATTCGCACAAGGTGAGTCAGTGGGCAAATGCATGGGAAATGCAATTTAATGTAGGTAAATGTCAGATTATCTGATTTGGGAGCAGAAACAGGAGAGCGTATTATTTGAAGGTTATAAATTGAGAGAGCGCGTCCTTGTACACCAGTCCCTGAAGATAAGAGCACATGTGCAGCAGGTGATCAAGACAGCAAATAGTATGTTGGCCTTCATGGCAAGAGTGATAGAGATGTCTTGGTGCAATTATGCAGGACCTTGGTGAAACCATAGCTGGAATAATATGCGCACTTTTGGTCTCCTTATCGGAAGGAGGATGCTCCTGTTATAGAGTGCAAAATTTTACCAGACTGATTCCTGGGATGGCAGGACAGCTGTATGAGGAGAGGCTAGATCAGTTAGGAGCATATTCGCAGGAATTCAGAGCAACGAGTTGGGGGAAGGGGAGGGGGAGAGGGGAGAGAAACTCACAGAAACCTATAAAAGTTTAACAGAATCAGACAAAGTAATTCAGGAAAGATTTTGGTGATGATAGGTGAATCCAAAACTACGGCCACAGATTAAGGATATTGGGCAGACCATCTGAGCTGAGATAGGAGAAGTTTCTTTATCCAGCGAGTGTGTTGAGCCTGTGAAATTGCTACCACTGAAAATCACCCAAGGCGAAAACATTGAAAGATTGCAAAAAGGAGTTGAATGTAGTGCGTAGAGCTAAAGTGATTGAAGGATGTGGGGAATAGCAGAAACAGACTACTTAGAGTTGGATGATCAGGCATGATCATAAAGAATGGCTGAGCAGGCTCAAAAGGATTAGTAGCCTAATCCTGTTCCTATTTTCCATGTTTGTATGTTACTTACTGATCTGATTAAACAAAATGTAGTACCATTGCATATTCCCTTTTAAGCACAGTAGAATGACTTGATGCAGGAAGTTGTTGGTTCAAACCTTAGTTCTGAACACGAGGACATAATCTGGACTGATATTTCAATGTAGCAAAGAGGGATACAATCACAATATGAGATGGTGTTTTTGTATATGTTAAATCTCATGTGTACCCATTCAGGTGGATACAAAGAACTGTTTAGCATTATTTGCTGTCAGAGAGTGGCCAAAGCAACTTCCGCAATTAAAGCTGCTCAAATCTTCCTGTGCACAAATTAGCTGCCGTGTTGGCTGACGTAAATAACTGTAAACTGCACAGCAAAGAACATATTCATAAGAAACAGAGCAAATGCATGCAAGCAAGGGTACATGCAAGCCAAAAAGAAACATATTTCCAATAAATAAATGTAAGCAAACCATTCCAACAGGCACCTTTGTAAATTAGGTACAACTTGTTCAGTTAGAAACTAAACACTAATCTCTTTGTCAATGTACAAGGTCTTTTCCTCCCTTTTGACTTTAAAGGTTGGTGATACTAACGAAGATGATAAAAGAAGTGAAGCAAAAGAAGTTTTTAAAAATGTTCATAGGATCTTTTTCTTCCAAAACAAGTTCTTTAGGATAGCAATCCAACAGTTGCCAAATCTGAAACCCTGCAATTGTAAATACAAACATTGAACTTGTAGCACTTCACAAATATGCAGTATCATGATTTATCTTGTTATAGCATGACTGCTACGAGCTAGAATGTACATCTACTGCAAAATTGAACTGAAATTGCTTCATACTCTATTCTCTTAGTGTTGCTAGCAAGGGAAATACTTATTGCCAATCCCTAATTACCCAAAAAGGTTACAGGGACCGGTCTTCTTAAACTATTGCAGTTCATCTTATGCAGATGTGTTATATCCACAATCATGTTTGAAAGGAAGTTACAGGATTTTGAGTCAGTTACAGTGAAGGAACAGCAAAATAGTTCTATGTCAGGATGGTAAGAAGCTTGGAAGGGAATTTGAAGGTGGTTGTATTCCCATGCACCTGCTGATAATTTTGGATGGCGTTGAGCTTCGGGCGCTACACTCCTCTACGTGAGTGGAATGCATGCCATTACACTCCTGACTTGTGCCTGGTGGACAGGCTTTGGGGAATCAGGTGTTGAGTTTCTTGCAGCCTTGGAACTACTCTTGTAATTTTTTGTCTATGTGGCTGATGCAGTTCAGTTCTTCATCAACGATAAGCCAAGGTTATTGATATTGGGCGGTGAAACAGAAGTGTTGTTGAGACTGGAAAACGATTAGGTTCTCTGTTGGAGGTGATCATTGCAGTACTTGTGGTCTGAATATGTTTGCCACTTATCATGCTATACATTGAAATGGACTGCTTTTTCCTGAGTTGAGAACGTTACTCAACACTAACCATCAATGACTATCCCACTTCTGATGTTACGATGGATGGTACGTCATGAAGCAGTAGCTGATGGTGGTTGGGCCAAGGAGCCTTGGCTCGGGAACTGCTGCAGCAATGTCCAATGATAGAGACAATTGGAATGTTGTAGTCATTGGAAATCAAGTGCTGGGTATAATTATAGCCAGTGGGGAGTTCTTCCGGATTTCCCATTCATTTACAATTTTGCTAGGGCTCCTTAATGCAACACTTGGTCAAATACTACCTTGATGTCAAGGACTATCACTCTGACCTCACCTTGAATTCAACTGTTTTATCAATGTTTGTACCAAGCGGTCATGAGGTCAGGAGCAAAGTACCCCTGACAGAACACAAACTGAGCACCATCAGCAGGTTTCTGTTGACTAGGTGTTGTTTGATAGCATGATTGCTAACAACTTCAATCACTTTAATAAAAGTAGAAAGTGCTGGAGCACTCAAGTCTGGCAGCATCTATGGAGAAAGAAACAAAGTTAACATTTTAAATCTGTTCTGACTTGGCTTCAGGATTTATCCAACACTTTTAAAATATGTATTTCAAATTTCCAGCACCTGCAGTATTTTGCTTTTCCCTTCAATCACCTTGAACATCCAAAGTACCCTAATAGGTGGTAATTGTCTAGATTTCCATCTTTAAGTAAGGCGTTTGATAAGGTTCCCCATGGTAGACTCATGCAGAAGGCAAGGAGGCATGGGATAGGGGGAAATGTGGCAGATTGGATTCAGAATTGGCTGACCCTTAGAAGACAAAGGGTGGTAGTGGATGGAAAATATTCAACACGGTGCTCAGTTACGAGGGGTGTGCCACGAGGATCTGTCCTGGGTCCTCTCCTATTTGTGATTTTTGTAAATGATTTGGATGAAGGAGTGGAAGGGTGGATTAGCAAGTTCGCGGACGACACAAAGGTGGGTCGCGTTGTGGACAGTGCGGAGGGCTGTTCTAGGTTACAAAGAGACATTGATAGGATGCAGAGCTGGGCTGAGAAGTGGCAGATGGAGTTTAACCCTGAAAAGTGTGAGGTGATTCATTTTGGAAGGAGAAACTTGAAAGCAGAATACAGGGTTAACGGAAAGATTCTTGGCGGTGTGGAGGAGCAGAGGGATCTTGGGGTTCATGTTCACAGTTCCCTCAAAGCTGCCACCCAGGTGGATAGAGTTGTTAAGGCGGGGTATGGTGTGGTAGCTTTCATTAATAGAGAGATTGAGTTCAAGAGCAGTGAAGTTATGCTCCAGCTGTACAAAACCCTGGTTCGCCCACGTCTGGAGTATTGTGTCCAGTTCTGGTCGCCTCACTACAGGAAAGATGTGGAAGCGTTGGAAAAGGTGCAGAGGAGAT